AGGAAAGGCCACCTCGATAGAACTCTGAGGCGTACATCACATACCTCCCTTTGACAAGGCTGAACATCAAGGGAGAAGCCCTTACTTGGGTGAACCATCCACCAAGTAGGGAAGCGTGGGCGCCTCGGAGGAGAGGATGGAACCTTAAGGAAAGGCCACCTCGTTAGAACTCCGAGGCGTACATCACATGCCTCCCTTTGACGAGGCTGAACGTTAAAGAAGAAGCCCTTACTTGGGTGAACCATCCATCAAGTAGGGAAGCGTGGGCACCTCGGAGGAGAGGATGGAACCTTAAGGAAAGGCTACCTCGTTAGAACTTCGAGGCGTACATCATATGCCTCTTTTTGATGAGGCTGAACGTCAAAGAAGAAGCCTTTACTTGGATGAACCATCCACCAAGTAAAGAAGCACAACTAACTTCAGGATAAAGATATTTCAGAACTTTCCTTTTAAGAGTTATCAGTTGATGAAGGTTAATATTCAGTTTTATCTTATGGGATTGGTTATTCAGTTGCGATACAGTATAAATTACGACACAGAGAGAAACAAAATTTTCCATTCATTAAATCAAAAAGTTCAAATTATAGAGGCCATAGGCCTTACAAAATTTACAATGAAGTAGAGGCTGGGGGAGCTGGAGCATCAAAAGCTTCAGTTGAAGGCAGTTGAGGAGCTTCTACAGGCTGAGGCACTTCGGTTGGTGTATTATCAGACTCAAGCTCAACCACATCGCCTTCCTCAGCTGGGGTCTGAGGAACCTCTTCAATAAATTCTGCTTTAAGCTCAGAGATATCTAGCCCCAGATGCACCTCCTCCAATCTTTCAAAAACCTCCTAGTAGGCCACCCTGCTCCAGTAAATACCGAAGCGATGATACTCTTTGGTGAGATCAAAATTGGCAATGTAGTTCTTCACCGCTATGTCTCCTGCTTCGAGAATGTCAGCTTCATATTTCTTCACTTCCGAGGCATACCACTTCAGCTCATTCTCCATGAACTTATTGGCATCCTTGCAATTGGCAAGTGCCAAGTTCGCCTTCTCCAGGGCCTCCGCTGCCACTTTTTGGTGGTTGTCAGACAGTTCTACCTTCTTTGTTAGAGCTGCCACTTCACATTGAGACTCATGCACCTCATTCTTCAGAGCCTCAACTTCAGCTAAAGCAGACTCTAGCTTGGCGTCATTAACATCTTTCTGGATTCTCAGCTCGATGTTTATCTCCTTTTTCTGCTCAAGTTCAGCTTTAACTCCCGAGGCTCTATTTCTTGCATGAATATCAGAAAGAACTGTCTGACATTCAAGTGCCACGCCAAAGGACTTGGCGGTTTAGCTCACTAAGGTAGCGGTGAGGTCTACTGCATCGCAGGTGGCTACGTAATTCTGCCACCTCTCCGTCCAGAACTTGTTGAAGTCCTCAGTGGCCGCCCTCACCTCCGGAGGCAACATTTCTATTACAGCAGGGGCTATTTTGTCCTCCCTGCCCCCCAGGAAATTCCCAGACTTTCCTGGGGTCCTCTNACCCCTCACCTCGGGAGGAAGCATCTCTATCAAGGCAGAGGCTATCCTGTCATCCCTACCCTTCCATGGGGTCCTCTCCACCGTTACCTTCTTAGTGGCCTCGGAGGCCTTCGCCGCCTCCTCAATTACCTTTCTAGATTGCGCCACCAACGCAGCATCAATTGAAGACTGGAGGAGCTTCGGCTGCTTGGAGACACCCTTCTCTGTATAGGACACTGATTTCCCAAAACTTGAAGACCCACCACCTGGGCCCAATTTCCTCTTCTTTTGAGGCTCTTCAACTACGCCCTTACCCTTGGCGGCAGGCGGTTTACCCCCCTTTGTAGCCTCTTTGGGGGCCTCCTCCTCAACCTCTGTATCATTTTTGTCTTTGCTGAGGCGATCAAGCTTTGATTTCACT